AAAATTAAAGTACTGACCTGACTCCAAGGATAGTGATGCCTAGAGTATCCGTGCTGAGATGGGTAGCTCTGAGGGTATCCTCCGAACTGCGGGCCCGTTGAGGGATCGCTCTCACTGTATGCACCACGACCACCGTCCTCCTTCCATGCGTACCACACACCACATATCACCAGCTCATCAAGACAACTGACTTTTAAGGGTACAATATGACTAGACTAAGTAACTATAAATTTGGTTTCTTTCTTTTTTTTTTTTTTTTTTTTTTGTATTAAAGGAACAGAATCACCACTAGTCATGACAACAGAAGCGATCGGAGAGGCTTCTTAATTATTTAATTAAAATTACCCACTTTATGGAGGTTGGTCGTGCCACAGGAGGGTCTCCGAACCCCATTATTAAGATGAAAAAATAAGTTTTTAAAATATTTCTATTTAATTCACTTTTTTATTAATATTAATATTGATGCTGTAATCCGGCATGCCTTTACATTTCGGTCTTGAAATGGGTAATTTTTAGCTACACCTAATCTTTTCACTCATCTGGAAACATTCATTTTTAATATCTTCCTATCATTTATAGAGGAATGTTTTGTAAAATTGGCTGACATTTTTATTGATTTTTTTAAAAATATTTTTAAAGTCAAGTAAAACCTAAAGAAAAAGAAAAATTACCCATATTCATGACCACATCTAAGTCTCATGCACGTACAAATAGACATGACATTTGACAAGTTGTGTAAAAATTATAATGTGTGATATAATATTGATGAAGGGCTTTTTTCATGAAAAATGTTCAAAAAGTAATAAATATTCAGAAATATATTTTATAGTTTGCAAAATGAATTCATTATAATTGATTTGCTAATGTTCTGTCATTTATTTTAGTTTCCATTAGTAATAAATAATTAATTTTCATTTTTTTTTTAAATTTTGTGTATGTGTGAAGTGTAAAGAATCAATACGCTTGCAGTGCACTAAAAATATATGCAATTATTAATCACAATAACAAAAATAAAATATCTTTGTTAATCAATTGTAAATAAAAGATCAATTATTGTAATTCATTTTAATTTTAAGTCTTCCTAAAATCTAAAGAAAATATGAATATTCTTTTTTTTTTTAAATAATAACAATAAATAAATATTTAATTTTTATTTTCCTGCTCTTTAGTTGAATATATATTTTTTGACCTTATTTTGAAATAAAAAAATTAGAATTAATTGTTGAGTAAATAAATTATAATGAATTTATTTTACCTTGTGACCACAAGGTTAAATTCCAAATGTATTGGATCAGAGAAAGTTTACTGTATTTGACTAATATTTTTTCTTTAGTACTAAAAGGCATAATAGAAACAAAAATTAATAGCTCAATCGATATAGACAATCTTCAACTTCAAAGTTAAAATAATTGAAAGATTAAAATAACTTGCTTTTTAAAAATAGCAGGTATAAAATAATAAACATGACACTAACACAACATGAGAAATAACTGCTTTAAAAGTAATTCAAAATACGAACACTTTTCTTTTCAGAAGGGAAATGACATTATGAAAATGTTCTAGTTAAAATTGGTGATTTTCAAAAGGTTATAAAATAATAAATTTAAGGCAGGTCTTTAAAGCTCTAGCATACCATAAAAACGATGTAATGTATCAAATATCAGCAAAAAAAAAAAAAAAAAAGAAATGCATGTCATTAAAACCAAAAAAGAAACCAAATATAATATAATTTTCATAGTAATACATTTAACTTCATTTGATATATGATAACAATTGTACCCTTCAAAATCATTTTCCACACCAAACACCATTATTTTAATAAATGTAAAGTTTAATAAAGTTTCAAACTTATATTTACAGAAACAGTAAAAGAAAAAAAATTAAGTACCTACCAAATTAATTAAGAAAATAATGCCTGCTTATTAAATGCAGATATATGCAGTTAAACTTGATTATTTAAAAGCATAATTATTACAATTAGATAATGCAGTTTATTGTTTATTATCAATTACGACACTAAATGACTGACAGTGTTTTCCTTATTATTTAAACTATAGTGTAAGACCACCTAGAACACAAAACATATGTTCTGTGTACTAGGTTTATCAGCTAAAAAACCAAAAGTAATGTCAGCCGGAAATAAATTAACATCTTAATAAAACTGAGAGACTTATACATGAAGAAGAAAGAGAAACACTTTACTTGTAAAACAGAAGAGCATATGGAACAATTTCATTGGGTAGTTCATCACAGATTATTATCTATTGGATAGATAATTTTACATCTTATTGGATTTGAACAAAATAACTTTCAGATTTGTATATTTTTATTAAATCATTAAAGTAAAAAACCATCTATTGCTTACAAAAATTAATACAGTGGTTATTGAATTAATCTGTAGGCATTTTTATTTCATTATCATACCATATATTTCAATATATAATGAAATTTTCAAATATTCATCTAATTTAATGTCATTGATAGAATTTGAGAAATTAGCCACTACATTCTTATTTAAATTTAAACCCTTAATTTATTTTAAAAAAAAAAAAAACTTAATTTCAGTGATTCTCTGGGTTTCGATCCAACATTACATGTCTTGAAAACAAATCTATCAGGTCAGAAACTTTTTAAAAACTAATTAGGATATTACCGGAGCCTCTTACTACTCAAAAATAAGCAAATTGCAAGACAAATTAAAAAGTAAATTTCCAGCATAGAAATCCACAATTCTAAACAATACCCGAACCACACCATCTTTATGAGTTAACTCATGAAACAATTTCATGTCATTTGCACCCCCGAATCTCATGAATTCATTTATTTATAGAATAGATTCTCTTGACATCTTACTGATTATTCCTTGGAGGAACCTCATGTCAGTTGCTTTGATCCTGCTTAAATGTTTATCAAGGATTATCCATCTTTCCAATCCATACAGGAGTAGTGAGAGGAACACCATTTTAAATAACTTGTATTTGACCTCTCTGCTTACTAAGATTGTTATTGATTTCTGTTAATATTACTGTTCTAGGGATTTGCCAATAAATAAATTCTTAGACTTCATACTATTTCTTCCAACATATATGATCTATAATATTATTTTCACTTATTTTAGTCGACACTAATCATTCATTTGGACCAATTTTATCAGACAGTATACATACCATTTCTGACGAACAAGAAGTGGTAATTTTTTTTTTTAGTTGATTACTTATAAACAGTAAATATTAATCAATATAAAAGAAATAACTATTCACCATTATGGGAGTGGATTAAATTAATCCAATTTATTATATAAAAATTAATTTTAAATCAGATTAAGATGTTTATTAATTTAAAAAAATATTTATGAGTAACAGCGGCACAATTTTTATTTTGAGTTATAAGTGGTCTTACTGATATTAATTTAAAAATTTTGGAACTCATATTGTAAAGTTAAGATCACCAATATAGTATGAAATGGAAGTTTTGAAGACAGCATATAATTTTTTAAGATTGATTTATAAATTTTGACAATGAAGTAGTATTATAAATTAATTTAAAATTACCTAATCAGAATGTTACTGCCAGGATTCTTAAAAAAAAATATGCACTGAAACTTGTAAAGATTAGCGTGTTCCAAGTTTTAAAATATTTTAATTTGTTTATTGCTTTTTTAAACTTCTTAATTAACTTTTCAGTTATGATCTGTAATAGCACCATGTTTCATCTCATAACATGACATAAAAGAAATAATTTTTGAAATATGTGATTTCAATTTTGAACATAATATTCTTGCCTCTCAAATCAGGACTCGTGTAAAAACTGCAATTAGGGTGATAATTTTAAATATTTTGTAATTTGTCATTGTTGTTTACATTTGCCTATTTGATTTTGTAGTGCAGCAGAAGCTATATGAATTGATCGAGTAGTTTCATAATGCAACATTATCTCTTATAAGTATTTTGATTGTTGAAATTTCAAAATACCATTCTAAATCAGAGAATGAAAAATTGAAGTTTCACTCTAATTTCTCAAAGAATTATTTTGTTTTTTTATGGTTTGTCATAAGTTTAATTTTTGCTATTAATCACATTAATTAAGGAAAATTTTGGTTTTCTGATTTAAACTAATTTATCTATATTATCAACAATAATAAAGTAATTAACCACATTTTAACTTCTTAAGTTCCTCATTACAGACACTTATTCGAAGTGACTGCAGCTGTTCTCTTTTTCCTTTAACTGGTTTGGTGTGAAATTTTCATGGCATGCAAAAGCGTTAAGAATGCAAAGCTTTAAGAGCAAGAAATTTTATATTTTTAATCAATAAGAAACTATAAGAATCATAAATCAATAGAATATATGCAGCTCAAATCAAAAGTTAATATTTGTTAAATGAAATTTAATAATAAAAGAATTAGCTTCATTCTCAAGCAAAGTTAATTTATATCGTTAGTATTACTTTTGGATAAAAATATAAATACTTATCCTGATAAGACTCACTTTTAAAGAAACTTTTACTAATGATTTTATAATTTCCTATCAAGCCAAATGAAATGTCTCTTTCTGGCCATATTACACGATATAATTTTTCATTAAACATGCTCCACTAAACATTCTTAACACAGTTTGCATTTTTACTAAATGACAAGGGTCATGTGATATAGGATTCAAGAAATTTTCATTTTCTAATACATATTTTATTTACTTTGGTTACAATACAAATATTCATTAATTTATTTTATCTTTTTAATCAAATGACTAGATCAATAAGGGTATGTTATATGAAAAATTAAATCGTATCACATGGGCCATTAAAATTCATACAAAATGTATGAAATTTATAACATAATAAATTAAAATAAAAAATATATATAAAATTGAGATCTTATAACAAAAAAATAACAAATTAACAATTAAAAACATAGATTAAAATCAAGGGGGTTAAGGTGGGCAATATTGACATAGCTTAAATGCAAATATCTGCTTCGATATTCCTTAAGACAGGCTGCGTACCTGGGCATGCTGTTGGACCCAGTCAGCAGTGGCAAGCTCTTGTTCATGTTGGAGAGGAACTTGAGGTTCTGTGACAATAGTTTTAGTTAAAACCCCATAGACTGCTAGAGTTATAGTCGTGTACCAACCTTTCAGAACAAGACCATCAGTAGGAATATGCTAAAAGAGAAAGAGTTACATAAATAAACTGTAAAATAAAAAACTATTAATGATACATTTAAAGATAATTTATACTAAAACCTAGAAATAATTAATAAATAAATACTTCAAGTCTGAAATATTTAATTATATTTTATATTTCATAATTGAAGGAAGTCGATAGAAGTGATAAGTGACATTTTTGGATACAATAATTATTGTAAGGAATAAAGGTGTAAAGTGATATATTTTAAAAATGTCTTCTGCTATTCAGATAATAAAATCAGAGAAGTTCAGAAACACAATGATAAAGATGCCAAGTGATAAAAAATATCTGCCTTGTGGTGGATACGGGTGGTTTGAATTTGATTTTCTCAGAACTTGAAAGATGTTCCTGGTCATCATCCCTTTGACCCTTAAATTAGGTCGAGAGTTTTAAGGTGCAATAACCTCAGCAAGCTCAAGTCAGGGAAGACAAAAAAGTTTCACTTCGTGGTGGACCCACAGAATGAATCTCAATCTTCTCATTCTAGTTAGATTAGGTTGGTTATTCCGGCAAAATATCATTTAACCCTTTTAAACTTACTTCATTTATTTATTTTCAATAAGTACATTCAACAATGTTTTGGATTCACTTTGCTCCTTTCCAGGTCTGTACGTTTTTTTTTTTTATTTCCCATATAACTAATATTTTATAAATTCATACACATATGCTTACAGATATGATAACGTAATCAAAATAAAATAGCAGAATCCAGCTGATTCAGACTGCATGGAACAACAAACGTCCGGATTAAAAAAATTAAATACACATTTTTCTACAGTTTAATTTGACTTTCAATACCACATAATGCATCCTTAGATTTATATTTTGTATCTATGAGATGAAGAAGGGCTAAAGAAAACTAAATATCTGACCAGCAACTAAAATACATTTATAAATAAAATAAATGTTTTGGTGAAATATGCTCTGTAGAAATGGGTTCTAATAAGATTTTCTGAAACACACAATGTATCAGCATAGCAGGTATGTGTTAACCCGATATAAAACAAACCTTATCTTAACTTATTTTCTAAATTTCCGGTTGCTAAATTAAATTTTTAGTTTACTAAGATTTGAATTTGCTATTTTTTAATCCCCTCTGGATTAACCAAATGTGTAGATAATCATAGTCCAGATTAGCAGAACTCTACTCTAATTGTTTAAGAACAGTTTTTAAATAAAAAATGTATGAAGTACTATAAATTTATTATAGAATGAATGATTTGTAGATTTCTTACCCTATGATCACACTCCAAATGTATGTTACCATTTTGATTGTAATCAATTGATCCTAAGTTCTCAAAAGTTGAAGCACTGGGTTTGCTTAAATCATTGACAAAAAATTCAATTTTGAATTGAGATGGATTTGTAGCCCTGTAATTAAACAATAAAAATTAAAATCTGTAGTTATTACTAGCTTTATAAGAATAAATATATTTGCGTTAGTATAATTACTATAATGGGTAAAGTTAGACTAAATTATTTAGGAAGCAGGTACACATGAAGAAATGAAACTTACAAGTCTAACTTAAGAATATTATCTATGGACAAAATTTACCTTGAACCAAAATTTTCTGAACTGTAAGTAGAAAAAAAGAATTTGTGATATAAAGGACATAATATGACAAAACTAAGCTTGTAAGAAGTTAAAAATGAATAACTTTCTTATTTCAATAGTAATCTATGAGCATGATTGATTGGTATAAACCAAGATATTACGGTTACAAAATGTTAAACTTAATCTGAACAAAGTAAAAACAGTAGTGGGTATAGATGCAGAATAGACTAATTTTGAAGACAATCTGAGTAACTAGTTGCAATAATAGTGATTAGGAGCCAATTTTTTTTTCCAATTATTATTTAAGAAATTTACAACTGTATAAAAATAAATATACATCCAGTAAATGTGATAAAGAGAAATACAATGGTATTAAAACACTTGCAGAGAATTTACCCATTGGTAGCACTCTAATAAAGTGTCTAAATTAGGAGATAACGAGGTCATCTTCATTTCAGACACCTGGGGAAGGGGGAGGGGAGTTATCAAAGAGATCGATGAGGAAGCAAAATTACAGACGAGAGAATTAGGATGGTTCTGAAGTTTAATGGGCAATATAAATATAATAATTAAACAATTCATAATAAGTTATACATTTTGGTACTACTAAATGAATGTTGTTGGTCCACTTTGTCTAGCAATCCAAGATCACATAGTCACTATAAATGCGATTCTAAGAATGACCAATTATTGATGTGTTCACGGTATAATTTCCTGTTATTTACATCAGGATTTAAAACTTCTAGCTGGTCCTTATCGGTGAAAATTGAGCCCTTGATTAGCATTAATTATAATGCTAATTTCCATCTCCACTCACTATCTTAGTCAAAAGGTATAAAAACCCCCAAAGGGTCCTTTTCAGTAGAAGTTGGGGCCTAACAAGACAGTTTACTTACCTCCATCTAATTACAGAAAAACAGCCATTCTCAGGATTCCAATTATAGAGTGATCATGAGAAATCGTGCTACCCATCAAAGTAGAGCAACATTTATACATTAGTACCCATTTCTTTTTCAATATTTTTAAAAAAATTTAAATCTATACACACATACAAATATAAATATGTGAAAATTATTAAAAAGTATATAAATAAATCTTACCCTAATCTCACCCCACCAGGAAAGTCAGCTTGCACCCTAGCTCCAAGAGGAATAACTCTTACTTCACCAATAAAAACTGGTTTGGGGAATTGTACCAAATCTAAATTTATTTCCTATAACAATTAAAAATCATATAATTGATATTAGAAAAAATAATGACTATTCTTCGATAATAATAACATCTTATCAATAATCAAAAGTTGTGATGGCCGAATGTGTTAAAACATTAACTTTAACATTCTCGAGTCTAGCAATGTCAGTTTGGGCGGGTTGAATGTATGTATGTATGCATACATACATAGTTGGCACAACAACCCGTTACCGGGTCTAGGGCTCCTCCAAAAGTCTCTGCTAGTTGGCTATATCTGTTGCTGCAGCTCTCCAGTTCCTAACGTCGAGGAGATTGCGTGCGTCCACTGTGACGGAGTCAGCCCATGTGTATATATATATATATATATATATGATAAATAAATATATATAGAAATGTGATAATTCCCACAACAATCAGAAAATACTTTAATTTTACAACAGATATATGATAAAAAAACACTAACAAAAAAAAAACCTCTCTTAAACATTTGTTCCACGTTATCATAGTTTCCTTGGATAGTTTCAGCTGCTCTTTGCCCCACTTTATCATTGTTAAATTATGGGACCATCCATAAATAAATTTTAAAGCCGTCAAAAACAAAATTCTCGACCCCTCTAAGCGTGTTCCATTCCATATTGAAACTTTTTTGTTACAAGTGGTACGAAAGCATCTCCATTTTGCCTTCCTGTCTAACTTTATTTGATGACCTTCTTCACACAATTTGACGTTTGCAATTATCCCAATGTTTTGAAAATATTCAATAGCTTCTTCTTCTACCTACCTGCTTCAATTCTTGTGAAGAAGGGAATTCCCAGAATGTAATAAGATCCATAATTTGATGACAATAACACAAACAGGACAAAAATAAAGAATGTAATAACTGAAAAATAAACAATATAATAACAGAAAGCTTTGACGAGTAAGAAGAAGGGGGTTATGTGATGTAACATTAGATGATATAGACCCAGAACAAATTCTGCCTAGCAGAATTTATAAAATAGATTTTTGGTATGTTGCGGGTCAGAAGTCATTATTTAATTAAATATTTACAATTTATATACATGTACATATATCATAAGCTAAACAACTTCTATGATAATACTTATATTTAATTACAAAAATTTGGTGGTGTGCAAATCACATAGCTTTGTACTAATGAGATCATCAAAAGATAAATAAGTATTGGGCTCAAGAATTACTCAAACCAAATTAATATATAAGGATTAATAAAATAATTATAAAAAGGAGATCATTTTGACTTAGTTACTGACAATGAAAACTAATGAAATGCCAAAACTGTTAATCAATGCCAAAGCAATTCTGAATGGGAAAACTTTAAATGAATATTACTAGACATAAATTTAAAAAAATAAATAACTGTTTACATTGATATAATTGAAAATTAAGGGTACTTAAGAGGTTTTGGAGTTATAAAAGTTAAAGTAAATTACAGTGATGAAACAATAATTGCTTATACATATATTTATACTTGTATTAAACTATTCATTGAAACTAATAATTTAAATAAACGTAAAACTATAGTTAATAATAACTAAAATAAATAATAGAGCAAATTTTATCAGAGTAATAGGCAGAAATGGAGAATATTTATTAAACATGGAGTAAGTAAAAATCAATATTAAGCAACAAATATATTACCTCATTATTCTCATGGGAAAATGTGTCAAAAAACAAAAGTTCCAACTCCGACATTTTCGAAGAAACTTATTATAGACTTCTTATATTACATTCTAGAGAAGTAACAAATTAAATTCCACCAAACCACAGAAAACCTAACTCCACAAACATAACCTTACCAAACACCAAGTTTTGGGGGATAACGACCCCCAGTGTTGAGCTAATTATCCGAATGAAATCAATAACAATAGTGGCTGCCAAATCTTATTAAAACACTTCTTATCAGAGATTAAAATTAACTCTTTTTTTCTCTGAAAGTGAATAACAGTCGAATGTGAAAGAAGAATGCGTAACAAAAATTATGGTTTGATATTTACTTACTCTTACCAGTAAGTAAATATCAAGCGGAACTAGTATTTAATTTTGGGGGCTTCAGCACGAGAGTTTTTTTTTTCATATATTTATATAAAACAATAATTAATTTAAAAAATAAATAAAGAAATTATATGAAATGGAGTTTAAGTGATTCTTCAAGTTCTATCAAATGTAATTACACGAATAATACTATAAGAGATCATTTTTTTTTCATAAAACTTCTTCTTTCTCTAGGTCCTTTGTGCTCTTAAGCGTGGATCTACATTCCCAGCCTATCTTGTCCACTGGTCTCTGTCCCTGGCTAGTCTTCTCATCTTCGGTATGGTGCGTCCTCTTGCTGTGCCCAGTTTTCCAATGTAATCATGGTACTATGTCTAGGCTTGCCTCGAGGTCTTCTGCCTTCCGATCTGGCTTCCATAAACCACCTGACCTTTCGGGTGTCATCCATTCTGCAGATGTGTCCGAATCAGTTCAACAGCTTTCAGGATGCCACGAATTCATGTTACATCCAATTCCTCACGAATTCTGTACTTTGTGACACAGTCCTTCTTAGTTTTCAGATCCATAAAGAAGCAATGGCACGAACACTGCCTTACATATCGTGAGTTTGACCTTTCTGCTTACTTCACGTTAGCCCATGATTGTTTTGATTATCTGGTAATATATTCTATTGGCCTTCATAACCCGATTTAGCATCTCCTTATCTATTTTGCTATCTTCATTGATGATTGTCCCCAGATACGTGTATGCATTGGTTACCTCTAGGGGCTCGCCATTACTTAACATCATAGGTTCCGCATTATCTTTTCCAACTCACATAACCTTGCTCTGAGACGGGTTTATATGCAGTCCTTGTAGCTTCAATTCTTCTTCCCAATCGACTAATGATGTCTGTAGAGCCTCATGTGAGTCCGCTATGAGGATTATGTCGTCGGCATACAACATAGCTTGAGCCAACACTGTTGTCAAATTCCAATATTCCACAACAGCCCTTGAGGTTCTTTTTTTTCACACTTTCAAAATTTCATCCAAGAGAAGGATAAAAAACAGAGGACTAAGACTATCCTCCTGCTTTACTCCTTTATAAAAGTGGAAAGATTCTGATGTTGTCCATTGAGCCTTATCATACCGTTTGGGTCTTGGTAAATAGATTTAATAGCACTAACCAAGTTTGCAAGTAATCGTCTTCTAATTAGTGAGTCCCACATCTCCTGTCTCAGAACTGAGTCGAAAGCGACCCAAAGAGCCAGAAATGCTATATACATCGATTTGCCACGGTCCCATGCTTTTTCAACAAACATCCGAAGTGAGAATATGTGGTCTTGGGTCTGTCTGTCGGGTCTGAAAACGGCCTGCACCTCTTCTAGATCTTGCTTTACTATATGCCTTAGTCGCTGTTCAAGAATTCTTGTGTATATCTTGTACACAACTGACGAAAGGCATATTGGCCTATAGTTCCCGCATTCGCTTTGGCTGCCTTTCTTGTGAATAGGGATTATGATATTGTTTTCCCATTCTTGTGGTATCAGCTTGAGGTCCCAAATCTTTTGAAAAAGAATTTGAAGGATCTTGATCATGTCGTTGCCTCCATATTTAATTAATTCTGGAACTATTTCATCTGTTCCCGGTGCTTTTCCCATTTTAAATTCTGGCTACTGCCGTTTCCACTTCATCCTCGCCTATTGCATCATCTAAATCTTCCAGGCAAACCTCTTCCATACTCAGTCTCCTGTAGTCTCTGTGATTATGGCGTCAATGTTCTTCCATACTATTTTTTTTTTGTGGAAGAACTTTCTCCAAACTTTTAATACTGCTTTTCCTTCAATAACTAACTTACCATTTGCATATTTTATATTTCTGACCAGTTTTGACTTATTGGCTTTCAGAGCTTTTGCAATATGGCAGAATCTCCTCATATTCTCTTTATAATTCTGTTCTTTTTTCTGGCAGGAATGCTCGCAGGTCCTCATCTTGGCAGGTCTAATTATTCATTTGGCCTTATTTCTGTACTTAACATATTCTTCCCAGTAGATAGGTAATTTCGTTCTACACTATGTTTTCCAGGCATCCTTCTTGAGCTTTACTGCTCTTTTCACCTGATCATTTCACCATTTTGTTTTCTTGGTAGACGGCCTCATTTCTTAATACCACATACTTCACTAGCTGTATCGATAATACAATTTTTAATTTCTTTCCAAAGAATATCCAATTCACTATCTCCATTTATTAAATGAAGGCGGCTTTCCAGCATCATTCTGTACTCTTCTGGTTTGGTTTCCATTTTCAACATTTTGAACACCGATTATATTAAATGCTTTGCTAGTCCTCTTCCTTGGCTTGATAGCTTTAGTATCAGCGACTAATAGCTTGTGCTCTGTACTGTTCTGCGCCTCTTATGACTTTAAATGAAATATATAAAAAATAACAGTTAAAGATCGTAAAATGTTCGAATCAAAATTTTTAATAGAAATACATGTTTTGAAGTCAAACGTCAAATAAATAAATCTCCAAATATTTTTGCGTCAACAGTCTAGCCTAAAAACGAAAAATTATTGGAAATATGGGATAAAATGCAGGATTGTGAAATTAGTAAGATATAGGTATACCTGGTATGTTACAGCAACTTCTTCACAAGAATAGATTTGCCAGAAATATCTAAGCATTTTAAATGATCTATTTTTTTGTTCAATATTTTTAAAAATATCACAGCGACGGGCTTGCCTACGGCCCTGCAGGGATGTGGCCTAAAATTTCCCTGACGTATTCTCTGCGTGTCGTAAGAGGCGACTAAAAGAGAACTCTTTCCCTTCTTTCCTCTGGGAAGAGGGACCCTCCTGTAGCCTGAATGGGGTGACAAGAAAGCCCGTCTGAGGTCAGTAGGGGCTGCAATACCAACTCAGGCCCTGAAACAAGAGGGGAGCCTTGCTTGCAGCTCGAAGAAGAGTTAAATTCAGCTAGACTGGTCCCCCCATCCTTCAGGATGGGTGTTGTGCGTTGAGCTGGTAACCCATACACGGAAAATAATCAACAATGCGAATCTTGAAAAAAAAAAAGCCGGACTGATTTCACGGAAACGACTTAACGCCTGTACAACTGATTTTCGATTCGGAACTTGGAACGTTTTGTAATTATATCGACCTGAGCACTTCGCCTGCTCTTAACCCAACTTGACAACTTCGGGGTAGACATTACAGTAACCCAGGAGGTTAGGTGGACGGAGACTGGAATTTTAAAGAACAGGGGTCACACCATATACTACAGCTGCCATGAAAGGTTGCGCCACTTTGGCACTGGCTTCGTGGTTGGCAGAAGAGCTTCCCAGCTAATAATTGGTTTTGAGCCAATCGACCTCAGAATCTGCTACTTACGCATGAAAGACAAATTCTACAATTACAGCCTATGGAGCATCCATGCACCGGAGGAACCTTCAGAAGATGAGGACAAGAACGCCTTTTATTCCGTGTTGGAGCGGAGCATTGACCAAAGCCCACAATCTGACATAAAAATTGTGATCGGAGACTTCAATGTCCAGGTCGGGAGGGAATGGGTGGGTGGGGTAGCCGAATGGGCTAACGCGTGTACACAGCACCGCCGTGGCCCGGCAACCTGATGTATGACTCAAATGATTTAAAAATAGTCACGAGTTCGCATCCCGGTACCGAGGGAGTCTTATAAATCCCGCCTACACCCACTTACCCGGGAAAACCCCGTATAGCCTTAACGGCGAGTAAGAGGAGGACAAAAAAAAAAAAAAAATGTTGGGCAGGAAATGGCCTACAAACCAAGAACTGGAATGAACAGTCTGCATGATGTATCGAATAATAATGACAGACGCATGGTGGGCCTTGCTGCTTCAAGGGGATTAGTGGTTGGTAGCACCTTGCTCCCACATAAAAGGATACATAAAGCAACATGGAGGTCCAATGACGGGACTATATTGAATCAGATAGATTATATTCTGATGAGCACTAGACACATATCAATCCTAAGAGATGTAAGGACATACCGTGGAGCGAACGTCGACTCTGACCACTATCTGGTCATATCTCGAATCAGGGCTAGAATCTCTACCATCCGGAACCGAAGAAGAGTACGTCATCCCAAGTGGAATATTGAGAAGCTCAAAGAACCTGAAAGAAAAATTCGTTTTGTTGACTCCATGGACGAAAAACTGCGAACCTTGACCCTGGAAGATGATACTGAGGACGATTGGGAAAAATGTAAGGAAGCGGTGAAAGTCGTTGCCGACGGGGTCTCTCACCCTTACGAAACCATGGTTTGATGAGGAATGTGAAGCTAACCGCCCTCAAGAATGAAGCTCGCAAGCTGACCCTATAGAGAAAAACTAGGGGCTCGGAAGACGCATGTAAAGTGTTGAGAAGACAAGAAAAACGCTCAAACCGGAGGAAAAAAAGGATACAGAAATCTCAAGAGCTCCAGACAATCGAGGAATTTCGAAGGCAAAATGAAGTAGGAAAATTCTATAACCTGGTGAATAGGGGTTCCGGAAACCCTTCAAGCACCAGATTGCTGCCTGTAGAGATTCAGACGGTACCCTCCTAAACAAGAAAAATAAAATAATATTGGACAGATGAAAGAGCCACTTTTATGATCTCTTAGGAGATGCTAATCCACCCACTATGAGTATGGAGACACAAGCAGATGATATTGAGTCCTCCCCTCCCCGGACTCTGAGGAGGTTGAGGAAGCCATTGAAAACCTAAAAAACAACAAGGCTCCCAGCACAGATGGCTTACCTGCTGAGATCAGGTAGCCAAGAACTCACCAATGTCCTGCACCAAATAATCCTAGAAATTTGGGAAGGGGAAAGAATCCCATCAGACTGGTATAAAAACATAATCTGCTCAATACACAAAAAGGGCGATATTCTTGAATGCGAGAGATTTCTCTTTAGTCATGCACCTGCAAAATACTCTCACGAATACTATTCATTAGGCTCCTCCCTTTTGCCGGGAGAGAAATAAGAAAATATCAAGCAGGTTTTATGAGGGGTAAAGGAATGACTGATCAGATTTTCTCTCTGAGAATGATGTAGGAGAAAGCCGGTGAATATAATATTAAAACCCACCACCTCTTCATCGATTTCCGGGATGCGTATGACAATGTGAGAGGAACTGTTAGAGAGCTGGTATGTTTGATTCATCGAACAATCCGTCCATTGCTTTATGCGAGTGGAGGGCAGGTTATCAGATGCTTTCACCACCTGCAAGGACTTAAGGCAGGGGGATGGGCTGGCCTGCCTACTGTTTAATTTTGTCCTAGAAGGAGCCATTAGGCAGTCAGAAATTCAGGTTGGTGAAGGATTTTCAATTGCACGGTGCAGCTCCTTGGATACGCTGATGATATCCACATCATAAGTAGGACTTACATCATGAGTGAAGCCTTCTTAAGCCTTGAGACAGCAGATGCATGGTTTGGACTGCAAGTTAATCAGTCCAAGACCAAATAAATGAGCACTAATGCTACAAGAAGAGTACCCGAATGCATCAAAGTTTAAAGATACTCATTCGATACTGTGAACGAATTTATATACCTGGGGTCTCTAGTTACTAGCAACAATGCAGGGAGGGGGCAATGAAGAATACAGGCAGCCAACAGATGTTACATTGGACTAGTCCCGCAGCTTAAAAGCAGGGTAATCTCCCAAACAACAAAGCTGCGACTGTACAAAACTCTAATTAAGCCTGTTCTCATCTATGTTGCTGGGGTGTGGTCGCTGACCAGGGCATTGGAGGAAAACTTGCGCCGCTTCGAAAGGAAGGTGTTCAAGATTTTGGGACCAATCTAGGATCCAGAGGGACACACCTGGAGAAGGTGAACAAACCAACCAAGAAATAATGACCATATACAAGGATAGGGACATCATCTGTTTTATAAAGGTGGGATGGCTCCGGTGGGATGGTCATGTGGCTAGGATGAGCCCAGAGGAGAAAACTCGAAAGATTGATGAGAAGATCGAAGCTAAAAGAAGATATGGACACCAAAGGCTGCAATGGCAGGATGGTCTGACATCGGACGCTCACTCCATCCTGGGAACAAGAAACTGGAGAGCAGTGGCTCAAAGAAGACAGGACTGGCGGAAACCATTACAGGAGGCCCTAACTTGTGGGTTGCAGCGCCATTTAATAATAAATAATCAACAATTTTACTATAACTCGTTTCAATGCACGTTAATTAATATTTCCTAAATATCAGATAGCTATAATCCTAATTGAAATAGTACGATAAGGTTGAATAGTGAATTTTAAAACTTTCTTCCTCAAAAATACCTTCATTATTTTTTTTAAATTGAAATAATAACAATTTCTCACTATTAATGCATAGTAAAAATGACTATATATAAGCTATGAAGAATTGGTTAGTAAACTGAATGATAAAAAATAAGGGAAAATGTATGATAGCTTTTAAAAATTTAAGCACAGAAATATATTTAAAAAATCTAATACTAACAAGTTCTATGTGAACAGAAATGTAATTATTTTTAGTACGGTTATAAGCAGGGACGCTAAGAAGGACGTTTCATGACGCAAGTTGTGCCATAAAGCTTTTTGAGAGGGGCACATTTTGACTGGGTTTTGAATTTTTTAGGGGGGCACATTTCTGCGGGGCTATGAATTTTCGGAGTGAAAAGTTTCAAAACAGAAAACTAGGAGGAAAACATAGGACAGATCACAACAAGTGTAATTGTAAATGATCTACGATTTGTCTAATCTTGTTTTCGCTTGTACTGTTTTTAAGAAGACAGGAGTAAAATACATTGGAAAAGGGGGAGGGTTCTTGCACTATTGAGCTTGGGGAGTGGAGGAGGATAGTCACCCCTGGTTATTAATAAAAATTGTGAGATGAACGACACCATTTTTTTAAATTGTACGATATATAAAATAATAACAATGAAACTTTATACCTCGAAAATCATGTCCAAAAACCTAAATTAAAACATTCCCAACTTCTACTAGTAAATGTCCAAGAAATACAAAAATTGAAATTGATACACGATTGCGTAATTATAAAATAGTAATTATTCAAAAACTATGCTTCTGAAAATGTAATATTAGACCCCGGTTTTCAAATATATCTTTTATTCTTACACTGAAATAATTAAAATCTGTCTTTAATTTTTATTTCAAATATAAAACTCAAAGCTTTTATTTTTTCTTTGAAAAATGAGTCACATTATGACTTATATTCGTTTAAAGAGAAAAATAAGAGTTAATTTCAATCTCTATTTTTTTAAAAATAATAGGCTCAAAAAGATGATTATTTTTTTTAATGTACTTAATACATTCAAATAACACTAATACACAATTAAATTTCACAACATCCAACTAGTTATTTCCCTAAATATTAAAAATTAACTTTTTAAAAAGTTCTTATTAAGTTCTATGAGAGTGGTAACAATTAAATTAACTTAAGTCATAAAAAAACTTTATTAATCTGCTTACAGTTAAATGCCAAACATAGAAAATAGATATAAAAACCATATTGTCAGCCTATAATAAAGAAGTTATCACAGGAAAATAAGTACAACATTAAGTACAATTGTTAAATGGCTAAATACCATGTTAAATCTGGAAGACAATTCAAGCTCAAAAATGTAATTGTAGGCACAGTAATTGACCCATGCTGCTAATACAATTTTGAAAATAAATTCCATAAGGCAATATGAAAACTTTAAAAAATAGAAAGTAAGATTAATTTATAATACATATATATGTAATAACAAACATTATTTTTCAAATATAGATAATTTAAAAGATAAATTAAATGTACATGAATTATTATTGTAACAAATTTAGACATACACAATGAGATCAAAAAGGACTACAATTAGCAAATAGAATAATAAAAATATAATTTAAATATGTTATAACAAAGCAAAAAATGGTGGTACTAGGATTAATAAAGACACTGATTAATTATTGTCACTAATGTTAATTAAATTAATAATGTTAAGACACTAACTTAACATTATAAACTAAATTGCAATAGAAAATCAATAGGTCACCTTTAAGAATACATAGGGATTCAGAATACTCGATGAACTGACCCTAGTTGGGAAAACAGGCATTACAGACAATCTGTTAAAACTGCACTTTTGGTTTATTATTTTTAACAATACATCCTTAAAATAATCAATAATAATTTTGTCATATTATTTTCAATAATAAACCTTTGCATTTACCTAGAACCCTTTATCATCCACTCTCCCAAATCCATGGCACACCAGTAAAACATTAAAATAATATAGAACTTTAATTATAATTAATGGGATTGTCACTTTCAACATCACAATTTCTTGTTTAGAATCACATACTAATAAAAAAAAAAATGAAAATTAAAATATGCTGAAATATTGATTTTTTGAATTACCTTGTTAAAATAAATTGACTGAGGATAATTTGCAGTAATGTTACATATTAAAATTCAGCTTTCATATTTTTTAATTTAATTCTTTTTTTCTGTCAGTACATTACATAAACATATATATGGTGAACTTTTAAGCAATCAAAATAAAAAAACAAATAAATAAATTTCTATGTAAAAAATAATAGGTTGAAATAAAATTCAAAATTGCTATGAACAAGAATAATAACTAGCTAAAGATAATTATTTGTAGAGCAGTTCAATCAAGCACTAAAAATGGTTTAGAAATTTTAGCTGAAACATTAGCTTATGTAACAAAAAAGAAAACTTTTTTATTTACTATGATTTTCATCTTGACTGATTCCAACCAACACTTATCTTATTATATCATCACAATCAAACATCATCAATATCTTCCAATTTATGATTAAACCATTAAAATTACCTATAATGAAAAAAAAATAAAGAAAATAGATTGACAGCAGAACAGAATTCATACTAATTATCAGTTCTATATACAGTTTACAGTTATAATACTTCATAAAGTTTACCAAATTTCCTCAAAAATAAATTAATAATAATAATAATAATAAAAATAGATACAAGATCTGAATTCTTCACTTCTCGTTAAAAAAATACTGGGTCAATCTCTGATAATGTAATATATAAATAACAATATTTCACACTGCTTTTAATTCTGGAAAATAATGCAGTATTACTTTAAAATCAGACAGACTGATTGTTTACATGTCAATAAAATTCCTGCATAGGAAAATAATTGACTAGGAAGTATTGATTGAAGTAAACTTCCTGAATTTTCACAATTAATTTTGTACAACGCCTAACCATAAAAAAAAAGTATTCCAGGCCAGTCTGACATAATGTGTCATAATTGATTTAAAGAATAATATTGATTATTCTCATATAAGAATAAGAAGCTAACCTATACTTCACAGAACTTCAATAAATATGATAAACATTAAATTATTTATAGCTCTACAAGTAGGCGATAATAGACTGTTAATGTGTAATATTAACAAAATATGTAAATAGAAAAATAACACTCAAAATATAAAAAATGATGAGTCCACAATGTAATTTCTGGTCTCCCTAAATTCCCGACTTATTTCTGATTTGCGCATAGATACTTGGGTAGAAACAATTGCTTCTAGCACCCTAGGATCTAGGATCACATGAATTTTCACAATATATATATTAAAGATTACATACTAACAAGAGAATATTACTCATTTATTTAATTAATAACCTAATAATACTTTGAACCAAGAAAATAAAAAAATATATATATAAAATAATAATAACCTAATATATTAAAACATTAACAAATATACCCTTTGTCCAACATAAGTTAAAATAGGAACTAAATGGAATGTTAAATTATCATGGAAAAACAAAATAAACATTACAATAAGTATACAACCCAACTCCAAGTAATGTTAATAAGTTTTTACTAATTTCAATGGTGGGATTTTTGACACTGTAAGGTAATATGTTTTCCTATTATTTATAATCTACGAGTATGATTCATTTTTAATATACCTAGATACATAAAATGAAATGTCAGTTTTCATTAATAATATATAGATGAATATCTATGCCTATGATGAATTTATTATTAAATGTCTAATTGGTTATCAGAGAAAAACTTGAATTTTGGAACAACATGGACAAATACTATTACAAAAAAGAACAAGAATGGAGTTCGGACTATTTTTAAAATTATCATATTATATAGTATTCACGTTTTATTAATTTTATCCTTGAAAATTGACATTTAATGTGACATAATTATAAATAAAGTAAGTGATGCTTTAGGGTCCATAAGTTCAAATATAATCTTCCTACCAATTCAATTTGAATAAACCGAATTTCAATATGAATAAATAAACTAGAATATAAAATTTGTGTGAATGTTGCTTTTAATCTGCGTTACGGGCACATCTAAATCCTAGATTCCCAGCACTACTATCAGGAGTATTCTGACCACGAGCTGCACATCTGTGTCGATAACAGTAAGTTTTATGACACATGTATGAGCCACCCTTTTTCACTTTATCAGTACCTTTTTCAGGACCAGTCTGAAACAATCAAAATAATATATATATGTACTAAACATTAAATTTATCAAATTATAGAATCTTTTATGTTCAAGTGATAATAAATTTAGCAAACTCATTAGAACATAGTGCTTCTAGAGATCATGGTATTTGTTTATTCAGAAGACCCAGAAAAAAATAAAGTAAGGTATGATTAAAGAAAACCTAACACTTCATTGTTATAACTAAGAGATTATATTTTCTAGAAATCAATCCAAGTGGAGTGTTATCTAGAAAAAGTATAGATGTAACTAAGGGTAGATACGATTCCAGTGTGCTCAATCAGTAACAACCTTTTAAGTATGAAATGATATTCCAACACGATAGCCAAGGATTGGGGATATCTGTTTCAGAGGTCCCCCCACTTCATTATCACCCTTCCTCCATAAGCATGTTCACATCAATATTTTCTGTTATTTAGGGACGTGGAAAGACATCATGTGCCCCATGGACAGATTTCCCTGGGCCTCTACCAAGTATTAAATTCACCACTGAATCCCATCTTCTTTAATAAGGGATAAAATAAAAAAAAATATACAAATATACACTGACAGGCGAAAAATTCCACCCACTTGATTTTTTCATGTTTTCATCTAAAAATATTTCTGCTTTGGATTGGTCTATTGTTTTTAATGAATAAATAGGTAATGTTTTTGTTTGTTTTCAATTAGGAATGTTAATATAGAGGACAATAACCCTTAATGCTTAATTCAATGAAATGATTCTAGATTCCAATGTTTACTTTCTATGGAATCAAAATGTTTATTCAGTATCATTAGTTCAGTGCCGTTTCTTGCAGCATATTTCTTAGTCTCCGGCTTTCAATGTTTTCAATATTAAGTTTAAAAATGCCTCTTAGTGCTGAGGATATTGCGCGTGGTATGGCACTTATTGATGATTGGATGTTCCATTAGATAGGCAGCTAATGCAATCGGAGTTCCATATGAAACTTTACGAGACGTCGTCAGGCGTTTTCGGGAAACTAGTTCTTACAACAGAAGGCCCGGTTCTGGACGGTCTAGGGTAACAGAATCACGGGATGACCGGTTTTTGACTTTGAGAATTTTACGAAATCGGCACCTTACCGTTGTTCAAGCGATTCATCAGCTCGAAGAAGTTCGAGGTGTGCAAATTTCTGAATGTACCGCTCGGAGAAGATTAAATGAGTATGGATAATGGCTTTTCGTCCAGTAAGAGGACCAGAGTTGACCAGAACTCACAGAGTAACACGGCTGTCTTTTGCTCGCGAACACAGCCATTGGACTATGGACGAATGGAGTGCTGTACTTTTTAAAGATGAGTCAAGATTCGCTCTTCGATCTCCAGACGGGCGTGAAAGGGTGTGGAGAAGAAGAAACGAAAGATATGCAGCCTGTAATTTTTCCCAGAGCCAACCTTTTAAACGTGGTTCCTTAATGGTGTGGATTTCAATGGAGCGCCGCACAGAATTGGTTGTTGTTCATGGTCTTTGACAGGCATTCGCTATGTAGATGAGATTTTGGAACCTCATGTGTTGCCTATCCTCAACGAAATCGGCGATCGTTCTATTCTAATGCACGATTATGCACGCCCACATGTCACCCGCACAGTGCAGACGTTCCTTCAACAGAGCAATATTGAAGTTTTAGCCTGAGAAGTTTTAGCAGACAAATAAGAGTGCGTGAAACACTTCCTGATACACTGCAGGATCTTGAAAGGGCTCTTCGGGAGGAATGGGCTATCCTCCAGCAAAGGGACATTTCCCGACTGGTGGAAAGTATGCTGAGGCGTCTTCAAGAAGTAGTGAAGGCAAGGGGAGGAAACACGTGCTACTAAACGATGATGTAATTAATTTCTATTAGAATAATAATGGTTCGTTTTTCAATTTTTTTTCTCTAATCTTTCTTACCCAATCACATTTTGATTATTAAAGGTAAAAAAGATTATAAAATTCTATAAAGTATTATCTATAAATACCAAGTATTATTTACAAATACAACTTTTTTTACAAGTGGCAGAAATATTTTTAGATGAAAACATGAAAAAATCAAGTGGGTGGAATTTTTTGCCTGCCAGTGTATATTACATAATTATTTCATAATATTATTTTAGTACCATTATCAAAAAGCTATGGGTGAGAATATTACTCATTTATTTAATTAATAACCTAATAATACTTTGAACCAAGAAAATAAAAAAATATATATATATAAAATAATAATAATCCAATAAATTAAAACATTAACAAATATACCCTTTTTCCAACATAAGTTAAAATAGGAACTAAATGGAACGTTAAATTATCATGGAAAACAAAATAAACATTACAATAAGTATACAACCCAACTTCAAGTAATGTTAATAAGTTTTTACTAATTTTAATGGTGGGATTTTTGACACTGTAAGGTAATATAATTTCCTATTATTTATAATCTACGAGTATGATTCATTTTTAATATACCTAGATACATAAAATGAAATGTCAGTTTTCACTAATAATATATAGATGAATATCTATGCCTATGATGAATTTATTAACTATTAAATGTCTAATTGGTTATCAGAGAAATTAAATCCGATGGATTATCCGTCAATAGTTATTAAAAAAAGGAGCAAAATATAACAAAAAGCGGAATGATATTTTTATAATGTGGAGTTAATGCTTCTAGAAAATCCTATATATTATTTCTAAAAAGTGTTTTTTTTTTGTCAGTATGCCATAACTTCGTCAGTTCTTCATCAAATACAATGATTGACTATTCATTTTGAAAATATTTTTCTTCCTTCACATGCGAAAAATAGTCAAATCCCACCGAAATTTATGGGAAAAAGTTATGAAGGAATAGAAATTCTATTTGCGAATAATTCAAAAAGAATGCATTTTTTTTCTTGGTTGTACCAATAATTAGAATGATTACTAAATTACCTAAAAAAAAAATCATTTTATTTTTTTTAATAATTTTGAAAATCCCATGATCGAGGCTTTATTACCTTTGTTATCTTTCCAGACAGCATTTAAAAATAAGTCCCAGCAAAGCAATTTGTACAAATATTTTTGTATATTATGTTAAATGGAATATTGTAATCAACCAAGGAACAAATATTAATTCCTTCCTTACATAATACATAGGATCTACTTATTTCCACATTGTTTTGCTATTTCTTTACTAAATAAAATTTTCTGTGAATTATTAGCACGGACCAACTAGTAATATGTAATCACTTATTAGATAATTTATTAAAATAACTGTGATTATTTAAATTAAAGTTATAAAAATCAAATTGCTAAGCAGTCTCTATATGAGATCAATTAAAAAAAATATATTAGGAAGGTCGAGATTCACTCCATGGGTACACTATAAAATAAATATCATCCCCCCCCCCTCCCACCAACAAAAAAACATCACCACTAGAATCTAGAAAGTTAAAGTGGGTAACAAACTAATATTCTCGTCATCATCGGGCTCCTGTTGAAATGCTTTCGATATCAAACTTAAGGCTATTTGCTTTTGATTAAAACAAAATCCTAATACATACCAGACTTCCTGGAATATGTTTAACATCCCACCAGTCTGCAACCCACTCCCAAACATTCCCAACCATATTATACAAGCCATAATTATTTGGAGAATATTCATCCACAGGTGAAGTAGACAAATAACCATCTTCTTTGGTATTGTTCAATGGGAATTCTCCTTGCCATATATTCATTCTAAACAAATCCATACACAACATGATTAATTTATTGAAATAAGTATTTTGTTGGAAGCTCTTAAATGTATTAAAATCACTCTAACACTCAAATAGATCAATATTTCTGTTTCAGAACGATTATTGTACTCTGACTCCAAGATAATTCTTGGACCCGTATAATACTAAAATTCTTAATATGGGTTCTGGGCAGCAGTTTGAGGCATCAATATTTAACAGAATATTTCTATGTACTGAGTTCAATTCACATATTAGCAATTAAAAATAAACAACTTTATTTCTAACCTTGTTTTGTTATTTGGGGTGAGGGCATTTCCCCAAGGGTACAACCTCCCCTTAAGTCCTCCTCTACAAGCAACTTCCCATTCAGCTTCAGTGGGAAGCCGTTTTCCAGCCCAATTACAATATGCAGTAGCATCATTCCAAGAGACATGTATAACAGGATGTCTTGTTCGTCCTGAATTAACCATCTATTAATGCATTTATAATCAAAATAAAAGAACAGCAATTAAAAAAAAAAGAAAAGATTTTACATTAATGAAAACATTTTGGAGACTACCATCATTATTAAGTATTTCACAGATATGATACTTAGGTAAGTGTTTGGAACTGTTGAAACTGTCAATTAACAATGAGCTATTTTTCAACAGTTTTATTCTATGTCATACTACCATTTATTAAATTATTAATGGGTACTCTAGAAATAAAATCTGGTCTCAGAACACAAATCATCTAAATATTTTCTAGATGTTTGATGGCGATATGATTTCTTCAATTCAGATATATTATAAGTATACCAGAATGAAACAGGACATTTCTAGGCATAAGACATTCTAAGGAGTGTACTACCGCAATGTAAAGATAAAACTTCTTATGCCTTGTAAATATGAACAAAAATTGATTGATAAGAACGTCTTAAAAAATACTACATTTTTTATTTTTTATACAATGGGGAGAGGGAAAATATGACCAATTAAAAAATCTGTGACTTGTGATACATATTTTTAAAAGCTATTCAATTATATTGTACCACATCTTTGCAAGGGAAAGCGTAGAGATCCATTATATTTATCTGAATACAATAAAATTTTATCAAGGAACTTGACTTTCACTCTAAATATATGACCCACTTATAATTATTCCTTTCACTATTCAAAAACAATTATTATTGAAATAAAATATTTAGGATAAATATCAAAATACTAGATATTTTACCCAACAGACATTAGTAAGTCAAAAATTCTCACCAAAACAGGATTATTGAACTATGTTTAGCAACCAAAAAGTGGAAAAAGAATTTCTACATGCAGAGTAATATTTCAAAGTCTGTAAATTTAAATAACGGACAAAAAAACAAATAAAACTAATTAGTAGTCATTAGTGTTTGAACACACACGCAAAGTGTATAAGAATGTTACATTAAACTTCAGATATTACTTAAACTGGTTTTCAATTCAGATCTTACACATTAAAATTTTGTCGACAGCTTCAATCTTTCAGAGATAAGTATAGGAATGAAGAGCCTACAAACATTTCAAATAATATACATAAATTAAAATAGTAAATAATTAGTAAATGTAAATGAAACTTAAAATGACCTTTTAAATTGGAATCTGGCCCTTCGGGATACTTCCAGTTAGCTCCCTTTACAGGTAACCACCAGGGAGCAGCTGCAACAGCTTGAGTTATTGTGGATTTGATTTTGTTACTGATAAGCATGTCAAAAACAAAGGAATCATTAAATTTCTCTGCTTCGGTAACATAACCAGTATTCTTCACAAACTTTTGGAAATCTTCATTGCTTACTTCATATTTATCAATAAAAAAACTATTCAAATGAACTTCCCTTTCAGGTCCTTCACCATCAGCAATAATAAATGGTTTGTTTGTACCAATAAAGTAATTTCCTCCAGGTATAAGTCCCATGACATCTTTTTTAGGCTGTTTAGTATTGAGCATAATATCCAAATAACTTGTCAAGTTACAAAAATTACTATCTTGAAAATTCCTTTTGACCCTACTTGCATAATTACAACTACATTCTGAGTTAATGATTCCTTTCAAAGACAAAATAAATGATAAGTTTATAAATAAAATTGATACCAAAAGGAAAGTATTCATTTTGTATCAATGACATTGAACTTATTCTAAACAGATAAATATAAATAGTAATTTAAAATTAATGATTTGCCGAAAGATAAAAGTGTACAAAAGACATGATAACACGCAACTCACTGATAACTAAGTCCCGCCACTTGGATTTCCAACTGGTCACGCCCAGCCCCTCCTAATCGGTCTCAGAAACAACATGAAATTATGTAACTAACTATAAAGTCTATGTTTGTCAAGTATGTAATTACATACTTGACATACCATACGACACTTAATAAAGGTATTAAATTCAGTTTACAATTTGATAAACAAACTACATGAACTTAATTATGTTCTTCTGAGTTCGTGCAATGAACACTATTACGAGGAGGATAAATTTGTTTTTTATTTATTAACTACTTTATTCCATGACTTAAATATGGGCAACTTCGCTATTCGATTTCGTTCCGCGTAGTTAAGTTAGGGCTTCCTTAATAGCTAGAATGAAACTTAGCCGCTGATATTTGATAAGTCCTTCTTTTACGTCATTAAATCTAGTATAGCTGGAACCTTGATCCAAAGCCACTCTTATTTATCCCGTGTTGGTGAATTTGAAGATAGTGGTAGTCAGGAAGCTGAAACATGGGTCTGTTTCTTTTTACTAGACTCCCGTTATGATGTCTTTGAAACATCTATCAAATTTAGCATACTGGTAATGATGGCAGAGAAATAGAACCGAAGCTTGAGAGTGTATCCTGTTCCAATGACGAATTAAATCTCGATGACCTGGAATCTATTGAAAAATAATGGCGGAGGACATCATACTTAATTAGCCAGGTCGGTTGTCTGGAAGTTGCCTGTAGTGTGGGCCCAGCATAATTAAAACATTGAGTTTCTACTGTTCCTTTGTGAGCTTCAAGTATTAAAAGCTGGGCAATAGTTACTTCAACATTAAGTTTGAACATTGTTCTGACAGCTGCGATATTCTGAAAATCTTTCGAATTTATCATAACATCATCGTTCAACCTTTGCTGATAAGAACTCTACATCCAATTACCAATCTTCAGCTACTTACTCAAGCGATTATTTCTAGAGCTAGTGCTTTAAGCTTACAATGTGACGAATATGTTTTATCTGATAGCTTTTGGAGAGGTTCCTGAACAGTATACTTTAGAAACATCTCAGAAAATATTGATTTAGGTTTTAATCAGAAGTGACAAGATGGCTAATGACTTGGGGATCTGCCAAATGAAAGTTGCTAATTGAAGACGGGGATTTTTTTTATTATAATAGCATGTTTTGTTTTAGATAATTGACACCCCGTCTATTTAATAATAATCTTTTATAATGTATTTTTTATGTTGACAATTTTTGAGAACGAACCTTAGAGGGCCTCAAAACTTGACTACTATCCTTATTCCACTGTTGAATGTAAAAATAACCTTTTTATTTCAAACGTACCTATTTTATGTTTTCTTATTTCACTTAGTATCTAGGATCACTCAGTGCTTTCTTTACTCCATTTTTTGTTGGCAGCCTCACTGTAATAGTCTCTTCATCTCCCAGAAGAAAAAATATAGTTAGAACTACAATGCTCTATCTCCTGTTGACAAAAGGCATTGAAACTTGGTTATTAGTTGAAGGAACTTACCCTCCTTCAACAGCTTGGATTTCATGATGGATGTTGTATTCCACCTTATAAGGCTAGTTACAAAAACAGTTACATAGTTCAATTGCCACTTAGATTTTGCTGGTAATTACAGTGTAGAGCTCATTCATAATGTTCAGACACATTAAATTTAAAAGTTAGCTCACAAGTCTAACACTCCTTTTGTAATAAGTGATTTGCCCACTACTCTTTTGCATTGATGTTATCTATATCAGATTGAGCAGCTTTTCATTCATTACTCCAGATTTTTTCTTTATAAAACTATTAACTTACAAAACGAGTAAAGCCAGGAGTGCCCATCCTCCCTCCCATGTCGATGGTACAAGAACATATCTTCCCCAGTCCCAAGATATTTTATTGTTCACCTTTTCTTAAAAACAGAGTAAGCGAAGATAAAATTTGAAAAATTGTGGATCATATACAATAACACTTGCTTTGATCTATTCCCTGATTTTTCCTTTGTCCCTTAGTATGAAACTTCATAAGCCTGCCAAAATGTACCCCCTCAAAAATTCAAAAATCTGCCAAAATATGCCCATCTCAAAAAACCCTCATCTGGACACCCCTGAGTAAAGCCAATAAAGAGTTGTTTATATTCATTATATTATATGCCAGTTGAAGATAGTGAATGAAATAAATATGTAATTTATATCATCCCTACCTTAAACAAATTGGCATTGTTACTGGCCAACCTCACGGTAGGCAAAGAGGAATTGTTAGCGAATATAAAATCAAATATGCCTAGAAATTAGAAAACTTACAACACTTCAAAAATATTTGGTGTGTTGGGTACACAGAATCTATGGGGAAAATGGGAGGCTTTCGGGCTGAAGCCCCCTTCCTTCAAAATGGTAAAATATAACTATGTTTCAAGGAATAATTATTAAAATTTATCTTTTAAAGTATTATTGTTCATGTAATTACATTTATTATGACTTAGAGAATCACTTGAACACCATTTCATATAGGAAGTTAGTTTATTTTTTCCAAAGTAATTATCATTATATATGTAAAAAAAAATAGCTTTTTTTAACTCGGGCGGAAGCCCCTCCCTAAATTAAATCCTGTATTCGCTAGCGGTTGTGTATCCCATCATTACTGAAATGGTGGAAAAACTTTTACAATAATCAGAGTACTTACACTTAATGCTAAATTGGTGCCCACAATTTAGTAACATAAACCTTATAGCTCATATGTTTCTTAAACTTGTTATGTAAAATACTCAAAAATAAACTAGTATTTTTATGTAGTTCTAAAACAAGAAAATTAGTATCAATACAATATATGTATATATAATATGATATAATAGAAAATTAAACTTTATTCTGGGACTAAGTCCCTTTAGAATAACAATGATGAATTAATACAAATCTGGCCAAAAACTAACTTATAAAGATTTTAATATTATATAAATCATTTAGAAAGTATGTAACCACTAAAAAATAAAAAAAAAGATATATAAATGAACATAAAATCTTTTCGAAATTATTTATTATTGTGATGAAAAAAAAAAGAAAAGAAATTACATATTTATATATACATAACTACACAATTTATAAACAATAGGCTATCTAATAGAAAACTAACTTAATACAAAATGTAATATCTACAGTGATTTATATAATAATATGAAGATACTAAGATAAAATAAAATCTTAGGATTACTTGTGGTGTAATAAAAAAAAAAAAAAAGAACTATTTATACGTACATTCTCATATTGGCACACAGAGAGACAAAAAGTATAAAATATATTTTACTAATATACACGAAAGAATAAGCACAACCTGAGGAGAAGAGAAAAACAAATAGTAAAAATAATAGTCAAACTAGGTGACAAAGCTGTTTTATGTTAAAACTTAAACAGTAGGCACCACCATTTACTTCACACAAATTCAGTTCATAAAATGGAATTTATGGTGGTAAATCTTCTGTTTGGGATGTAAGGAGATATTGGAAAAGTTGGTATTTGAAAGTTGACAGAGAAGAGGCATGACGGATGTTATGTGGCAAAGAATTCCAGTAGGAGACGGAGCGGACATTCATAGGTTTTTGTCCTTTGGAATGGAATATAGAGGTCAGAAACACGAGATCTCGTTTTTATAGAGTGGACTAAGGGTTTAGGCTGGAGGAGACAACAGATATAGGAAGGGTGCTGGGAGTTGATCGTTTGGTATAAGAAATTTTCAAGGAAGTATTGGCGGCAGGAAGAGCCACTTTGACTCAGCATATAGGTGGGACACATGAGACCATCTCGAAGTGCCGAAGACGAATCTTAAAAAACAGTTCATGATTCTCTTCAGTATGTCCTCAAGCTCCAATGAGAGGCCACCGTATACCACACAGCCATAGTTAAAGTAGAGGAAAATCAATGAGGAAACGAGGAGCTTGCTTATAGGTTGTGGGAGATGCTGACGAGAACGATGAAATAATTTAAGTGTACCAATTGACCTTCTGGAGATTTGAGCAATATGGAGTTTCCATGATAAGTTTTGATCAATGGTAATTCCTAAGTTTTTTACAGAGGAGGTGAAGGAGATTGGTTGGTCATTAATAATCAAGTAAGTATGGGTGGAAATGGATCTAAGGAGGGAGTTGGAACCTATAAGAATGGCCTGAGTTTTCATTGCGTTTAACTTTAATTTATTCAAGTTTACCCAGGCACTGATCCTATCTAGGTCTTTCTGAATATTCGTAAATGCTTCTAATCAGCATATATATATATATATATATATATATATATATATATATATATATATATATATATATTCCATATATATATATATATTCCATATATATATATATATTCCATATATATATATATTCCATCTCCTACCCATATCCACACATAGACTCCTAGTATCCGCCCTCATCTTCCCCCACATTGACTACGGCTGTGTAGTGTACGGTGGCCTCTCATCGGAACTTGGAGTCAGACTGAAAAGAATAATGAATGGCTTAGTACGATTTGTCAATGAGATCCCGAGACGTTCTCATGTTTCCCACTACTACGCCGAGTCAGGGTGGCTCTTCCCCTCCTTCAGAAGACAGTACTTCCTAGGTACATTCCTTTACCAAATAATCTATAATCATCGTCCGTCCTACGCATTCAATCTCCTTCAATTCAAGTCATCTATCCACTCCCTCTCCACAAGATCTCGTCCTTCCGACCTTTATACCCCTTTCCACAAATCGGCCTCATTTCAACACTCCTTTATTGTCCGATCCACCACATTTTGGAATTCCATCCCACTTAAAATCCGCCATGCACCATCCTTATCCACATTTAAAACCCTCCTTTTCCAATTCCTCCTTACAATTCAATCAGACGCTGGGTAGCCTATATTGTATTATTATACTATTGTTGCATTGTATGTATGTATATGTGTATGTATGTATATGTATATATATATTAATATATGTATATTGTATATATACTATTGTACTATTATTGTATTCTCACTATTATTGTATTATTGGGTGTATATATTGTGTATGTACGATTACACTATTATTGTATTTCGATTATACTATTAGGTTCTACGAACATACTACTATTACTATAACATCTTTATTATTATTTGTCGCTCATTTATAATTTCATAGCGTATTGTGTATAGCAACTATTTTGCAGTATTAGGACATTATTTCTCATATTATGGCTTCCGATATCTGTACAGTTATGTAAACACTTCTTTTATCCCTTATTTTTTAGTTGTTTTTTTTGTTTGTTTGTTTGTTTTTGTTTATTGTAATATACATTTTGGCCAGATGTAATGTTTAATTTTATGTACAATTTATATTGTTATTCTCAAGGGACGTAGTCCCAGAATAAAGTTGATTCTTCTATCTATCTTCTATCTATCTATATATATACACACAGAGGTACTAAATTACATCAAATAATAAAATGTATTTTGTTTAGCTATCAAGACATTGACCAACAATTGAGTTTAGCTTAATTACAGTCTATGGAATATACTGTAATTCCATGCAGCAGCATTGCACAGATTCTTATAAAAACTTATTCTGGAATTGCACTAATAATCTCTAAAAATATAAGGCAGCTCTTCATATTTACCAATTATGATTAAAATATAAATACTAAATTATATGTTTTATTATATTATGTTGTATAATTATTTTTCCTTCATTTGACACTTTTTTCTCTTGCTCCTTAACTTCTAAATAAAATGTAAATATTTACAAAACCATTTGTATTCTTCAAAATCATTTTTTTGTTTTCACTACCTTAGATAGGGAAGCTTTTTATTTAGGTTTAAAATTACACTTCTTGCACCATTACAAAGTATACTCACAATTTAGTGTATATTTAGAAGATATTATAATTAGAAATTAACCTTGATTTATAAATTAGGTATGAAAGAAATGGATTCCATAGGGATTTTTAAAATGCATGTTTTTATTGAAAATGAAAAACATGATCATGAAATTAAACTGAACATAAACATAAACAAATTTAATTTAACCTAAAATTTAGATTATTTATTCCATAAAAAACTGAATTACTTATTAATATTGGGGCACTTTATTATAATACATGATATCTAACATTTTTTATGAATCAGAATCACCAGATTCCATACTGCTTCTTTAATATATAATTGATAGAATGTGAATGAAATTCTCTTCTTTAAACAGGAGTATCATTTGTTTGTATTAATATGTGGAATTTGCTGGTTGATTGTAAAGTATAGCTAACAAACATTTTAGCATTGTTAAAGTTTTCAATTTGTCAGTTATCATGTTTTGCGACTGAGTGCTCCATTTATTGATCAAATATGTAAATAGCATAAAAAAGTAACATAAACATTAAAATTTTTAAAAAAGATATATTTATAAATAAAATCACCAGTCACATTAATAAATTTCCATAAATTGCATTGTAAAAAATATTAAAATAAATATTTCAGGGTTTTAAATAACGAAATACTTTTCATTTTGTTTTCAATATTAAATAATGCAACCAAGAATTTATCAATATTCTAGTTAACATTTATGATGTTAAAGAATTGCTTTCATTTATATCAAAACAGTCTTTGCATTTCTGGAAAAATACACATATTACAATAATAACCATTATTTCAATCAAGATGCTAATTGCACAATACAGAAAATAGTTATGAAAATGCAAATTATTCATAATACTCAGCAAGGCAGTAAAGGACTTATTACTTTTTTGGTATTAAAAATTCCATGTTGAACCCTGCAATGCTTCAACATGTCTCCTTTCTGCCGATAACATTTCCCACATATCTGACAAATATTTGGTTTTTCTCCAGTATGAATTCTTTTGTGAACTGTTAAAACATGAGATCTTCGAAACGCTATCCCACAAACATCACATTTATAAGGTCTTTCTCCTGTGTGAATTTTCTTATGTTGGCTATAAACATGCTGAGTCATGAAAGCTTTTCCACAATATTCACATTTATATGGACGATCGCCTGAATGTTTTCTGACATGGACATCACGGTCTCCTTTGATTTTAAATGTTCTTGGGCAAACTGAACAAGAATATGGTCTTTCTGTAGAATGAACCTTTTGATGAGTGTATAAACCAGAGCTTTGTGAAAAACCTTTACCACACTGATCACAAATGAAAGGTTTTTCTCCTGTATGCATTCTTATATGCTTTATTAAGGCATCTTCTATAGCAAAGGTTTTACTACAGTAATGACAATCATAAGGACGAAAGAAATCAAACTCCTCTGTTTCAGGTAATATTTCTTCATGTCTTTCTCGATGTTCTATTGCCTCATGAAGAGACGGAAATTTGATAACAGGACAATGCTTGCACTTATATGGTTCAGGGCCAAAATGAATACTCAAGTGTTCTGAATATTTAATTTGATTTAGAAAACATCTTTCACAGTATTCACACAAATATGTCTTCGGTAAAGTGAAATCTACAGAATATTCAAACGCTTTATTATCATTTCTATGAGAATGCTTGTGGTTGTCAAGTTCTTCTTCAGTGACAAAGGTGTTGAGGCATAATTTACACTCATAAGGTTTTTCTGATGAATGCTTTTCTCGATGTTTATTAAGAATAGAATCTTCCACAAAAACACGTTCACAAAATTCACAAATAAATACTCTTTTGACAGTTTGCATTTCAAAACTGTAAGTAGTGGTTTCCATAGACTCCATTTTATGGACATTATCCATGTGGGCTACTGCAGCATCTGTGTTTGGAAAAGTTTCATTACAAAATTTACAAGTAATACATGATGTTTCAGCAACTATATTATTATGTGTGGAAGACATATGGTTCATCAACATCGATTTTCGCATGAAACATTTACTACATCTACTGCAACAATATGGCTTAGCTCCATCATTATTTTGATGAGTTCTTTGATGATATTTCATGGATGCTTCTGATTTGAATACTTTTCCGCATTCTTCACAGCAATGAGTCCTATTAGATGAGGAATGAGTATACAGCAAATGTTTCTGAAGTTTCAGGTCATCCCCTAAAATCTTGTAACAGATGTGGCATCTTGAACTGCCAGATAATTTTGAATGCTCACAAATTTGGGAATTGTTTTGTAGATTTGTACAACAAAGAGTACATTTATTTTCTTTAAAACATAAGTGGTTTTCTAAGAGTAACGGAGAATTAAAACGTTCATGGCAATAGTTACAGTATGCAACTGTGTCTTCTAACAACAAATGTTGTTGTAAATGTTGATCTAAATCATCTTTGCCTGAAAAAAAATGTACGCAAGCGCAACATTGATAAAATTTTCTGCACGAATGTTCATAAGAATGGCTAAGCAGATCACACCTTTTGGAAAACTCTTTAGCACAAAGTCGACAAATAAATATCAATCCTTTCTCCATTTTATTACATGTTTCTGTACTTAATGGATCTGATTCAGGCATAAGTGATTTTCGAAGACCATTATCATTGAATTCTTCTATGCCTAGGGAACTTTCTAGTTGAGAGAAAGAGTTAATTATATCTTCAGTTTCATGTCTTGGAGACTTTTCTTCTATTTTAATGGGATCTCTGTGGGTAAGGATTGGTTCACATAATGAGCTTACTTCCATTGTAGACTGGGATTCACCACTTAAAGCAAAAGATGAATCATTCCCTTCAAATTTTGTTTCAACATCTCCAGCATTGATTAGTTGATTATATTCATCAAGCAGATAGAGATCATGACAAATAAAATTACCTCTTGTTTCATAAGGAAAATCATTAACATTTCCATTTTTACTAATGTTGAAATTATCTGTGGAATAATTGCTTATCTTTCCATCATCACACAATGGGCAAACTGTTTCAAAATAGTATTTCTCATCTTCATATACATCATGGGTTTCTAATAAAATTGGATAGGGAGAGAAATTATAACTACTACTCTGATTGATAGTTATTAGGTTTTGCTGAGATATGCTACATTGATCAGCCATTTCAAATAAATCATTAAGCTCTTTGAAACATGTTTTGCATATCTGTTTAGGCAATTCATCTGTAATCTGTACACAGAGAGGCAAACACAAATTAATTTTTTCAGCTATTTTCATTTTTTTCCCAAAATCATCAAAAATCAGATAAAATTCATCACTTGTTGAAGCACAAAGCCTACATAATCTGACTTGATGATTTTTTAAACAATTAGAACTTCGTTCAGTAAGCAGTGAAACATAATTAGTATTAGGGAAACCATAGCCTTCAAAATACTGATTTGGTTCTTTCAATTCATCAACGAAAAATTTCATACAGGGAACAGCTGTTCTCTTCAAAAGAGTATTTGTGTTTTTTACGAACTGGTCTGGTCGAAAATGATCACTACAAATCGTGGATTCAGGAGTTATGTGAAGTCGTTTTTTACGTGAACCTACAGCTAAACGTTGACAGTATAGAACCCATTGGTGACATCTTATTTCTTCAGAAGGAAATTCGAAGAACACTTTTTCAGGATTCCCTTCCTTAGTATTTTTGCAACCAGGTACTACACAAAATATTTTTGATTGAGGTAGTTCCATTGTAGGAAGGTAACAACCAAAATAGTCAGTGACAAGTTGTGATTCAGTTATCTTCTTTCCTTTTATGGCAATATCTTTCAGATCAAGTGATAAACCAACCTTTTTTTCCACTTTTTCTTTCAAATCTTTGAAAGTATCAATAGCATTTAATTCAACAGAAACAGTTTCTCCAGCATTGTTTTTTACTATCAGTTTCATTTTTTTCTCCGTTTCTAAACTCACTACAAAAAAAGCCCACTGTTTCGGCATTAAAACAACTCACATTAAGCATTTGAGGATAACTCCCCTTTGTCAACACATCTGGTAACAACTTCGACGTATTCCAAGAAGAGTCTGAATCAGCTGATTCCAGTTCTTCCATAAAGAAACGCCCATAACTTAAAGTTTATAAGTTTATTTTTCTATTTTATTTGGTTAACTATTTGTGGTTATTTAATATTTTTTAGTTGTTACCAAAAAGTATGATTCCATTTTTATTATTCTTATTTAACGTTGCAAAAAAAAAAAAAAGTCACTTTATTTAATCTATGCACATATATTTTAATTTATTTTAGCAATGAATTTTTATTATAAACAAATAACATCTTTAGTTTTATGTATACTGATTGCTTGACTGTTTATGTACATACTAAGTGCTTCATTTGTATAATCACTAATTTATATATACAGATTCAAGCTAATAAATTACATTGCTCATGAATTATCAGTCTACTTATAAACATAATGTAGAGCTGCTAATTAAAGCTGCTAATTTTTCTCATATGGATGTATGCAATGCCTTTTAAATTCCCTTCTGCTTTGTGAAAAGATAGTTTTTTCAGGTAATATATATATGGCCGTGAGTTGCAATTCGATAACATCAGGTTACTGTTTTTTTCATAAATGGTTTGAATTTTTAAATCAAAGTGACCTTTTTTGTTGTATCTTTCGTATGCGGCCTTTTTATTAGGTTTTTATATAAAGATTGCGCACAAAGCTTAAAGAAAAAGATGACAGAAGATGGAGACGAACATAGAAAGAATAAAGGAAGACCAAACGATAAAATAAAAAGACGAGGTGTGCAAGGAAGCCTGGCGGTCTGGCATAAGAGAAGACCAAGCCTTGAATAGAGATGAATAGAAACATATTTTAGAAGATATTTAGTTGAAGAAAACCGCAGTGGAGGAAAATTCCTTAATAATAATAAAAATTAGAAAGTCAATTACTTTTAATCATTAACCTTTTCCTTTTACCTTCTACTTCACCATTTCAGGCATACGAGGGAGTTATTATAGAGGTACAACCGAACCAATTGAGTTGAAACCTATGCCAATATTTAGTACCTAATATGTACTAATTTGTACCCCAAAAATAATAATTAGTACCCGTCAGGGACCGGAGATACAAAGCTTGTTAGGTAGGCCACATGGTGCTTCGTAGCCGGACACAAATGGAATTTTGAGTTGAAACCTATGAATTATTAGTTGAAACCTATGAGTTGAAACCTACCAATTATTTGTAGCTATTCTGTACTATATTGTATCAAAATATCATTATCTGTGCCAATCAGGAACCTGAGATAAAACGCTCCTAAGGTATACCACGTGGTACTTTGTGCTCCGACTCCAATGGAATTTCGAGTTGAAACCTATGCCAATATTTAGTACGTAATATGTACTAATTTTTACCCCAAAAATATTGGCATAGGTTTCAACTCGAAATTCCATAGGTGCCGGGCCATCATGTCCCTGGTCCGACACTTTTGCGAGCTTTATATCTTCGGTCCCTGACGGGTACTAATTATAATTTTTGGGGCACAAATTAGTACATATTAGGTTCTAAATATTGACATAGGTTTCAACTCGAAATTCCATAGGTGCCGGGCCAGGGACATGGACCTGGCGGGAGGCGCACTTCTATACCAGGTGGTTCCCTCACCCCTTTCCATTCCCCCACCACTACCCATCTGACCCACTCCTTACCTGAGTTTAGCCGATCAAAATACTTTTTTAAATGGTTTTAACAAAAGCAAATTCTATTTTTATTTAACGTAAATGATTTATAGTTTACAGTGAAGCAATCGTTAATTACTTAAATTAAATAGTTTTTTTGTTATCACTTTCAGATCGACAAAAAACGCTGCTTACATGAAAAATCACTAAACTTCAATTCCCTACTTTTTTGCTGAACATCGAACCATTGTATATATAAACTTTTTGGTATTTACTGAGTTAGGCTATCACTGTTTTAAATATTTCTCTTTACTTACGAGACATCCTGTAGAGGGTTAGACATGTTAAAAAATTGGATTGCTGACACGGGTCATCAAGAGAAAACTTTTGCAGCCAAAAAATCCAGATTTATCTGATCCTTTTTTTATATTTATTACTACTAAACTGTGCATCAAAGCGAAAAAAGAATTCTTTGAGAAATTAAAGAGCGTCAAATTGTGCGTTGAACGAGTACCTAAACTTGGTTGGCCCGTCATCGCGCGCTTTGTCAAACAGTCAGTCAGGGACGACTTAATAACGAAGAGGAAAGTCAAGAGGGACCTCACTACTCGGGATATCGGCTGGCAGGAGAATGACTGTCACCGGATATATCTGAGTGAGGAAATGACTCCCACGAACAGACACTTATATTGGCTTGCCCGACAGAAGAGAGCTGCGGGGAAAATCAAATATACGTGGTTTGCCGCCGGAAAGGTGCGATGTCAAAAGGAGGACGGGCATAAAGTGATTCTGATTGAACAGGCCTCGGACCTCGATATATTTGCCTGACCACGAAGAATTCGTCTACTCCTCATCCTCATTAAAATAACTTTAAACTCAATTATCTACAAAGGAACATTTTCACTTCTACGCATAGAGATATCTCTTCACACTTACACACTAATTTATATTTTATTGACCATATGTTTTTTATTTCTTTTGGTTCCAGCTTACACTTTCTTTTCTGCTATTTTCATTAATTGTAAACGCCTTTTTGTTGTATTTTCTATTTGTTTTGGAGTTTCTCTACCAAACTCTGACTGTTTCCCTCCCAATCCCTCTCATGTCTAGTATCCTAATCACCTGTCATGTTAACTCTCAATCGCTCCCTGCCCACTATGACGAGTTCCTGCAATATTTCACTCAAAACTTTTATCATATTATCGCAATCTCGGAAACTTGGCTTAAACCTTGCATCCCATCCTCTTCTGTTTCCTTGCCTAATCACACCCTCCTCCGTCATGACCGGGTAAGCCGGAATGGCGGAGGAGTAGCCATGTTTGTCCATAATAGCCTGAAGACTCGAATCCTCGATTCCTCACCACCCTCCTCTCTAATTTCCTCTCTAACTCCAATGACAAATCCTATCTAGAAAACCTAATTTTCTCTCTGCACCTCTTCATAGTTCCATTTTCCCCCACCCACCACACCAGCAGGTCAGACACTTGGCTAGACTTCTACATTATAGACTCTGTAGAAAATCTCCTCTCCTCTTCTCAATTGCCAGTATCATTCTTATCATCTCACGATCTTATACAAATAACATATAATATCCAAACTCCTTCAATCCAGCCTCGAACTATCACCTTCCGTCACCTAGATTCCCTTACTCGAGAAAAAATATTACCTGACCTAGAAACCCTAGACTGGAATGGAATATATTATTGCTCTTCCATCGACTCCATGGTTGACATTCTTACCACCAATCTTCTCAATATTCTCAATACCCATGCTCCCCTCAAAACCTTTACCTTTCGTCACCGGCCTGCTCCTTGGATGTGTCAGGAAATCAAAGATCTGCAGAAGAGGCGCGACGCTGCCCGAAGACGTTTTAGACGTACGAGGCTTGCAGATGACTACCAAGCGTTCAGGGTGCTTCGCAACTTGGCACAGACAAGGATCCGGCGTGCGAAAGCTTCCTACTTCCATGAAACCCTTTCCTCAGCTCCTGATATCAAATCGAAATGGCTACTGCTTCGTAAACTTTCCATTGGTAATCCTTCCAGATCCCCTCCCGCAGCCTATCCTGTATCCTCCGATGATTTAAACTCTTATTTTATATCTGTCGCTAATACCTCTTCTCTACCT